CAAGGATAAGAGGTGTAACTCAGAGACAGAAAGAGCATTGCCTGGCTTCCCCAAGATCCTGGGTTCCATCCTAAATATCATGTGCCATGCATACATGCATACATATACATACACACACACACACACACACACACCTACACACACTACCATACACCAAACGTATGGAATGGAAGGGTAAGAAGCCATCCATGGGAAATCAATAGTTCCCTAGAGAAAAAGAGGTTAGCTAACACCTTAAATAACATTACATTTTAAAATGAACTTGGAATTACAAGCTTAAACTCTCCCAAACAAGTCATTTTGACTAACACATGTAATTAAAGTTAAAAGCATACTAAAGTAACACTTTAACTGTTGACCTTACAGCCCCTTCTGGAAAAGCTCAACCAAGACATGAGGCCCATGAAGGAATAGCTTGACTCTTGTCTACCCAAGACAACAGCCCACAGCAGCACTGCCTACATTTCCTCAGAGGAAACAGAAGTGCTGATAGAACATTAACGCCAAGCATACATGTGTGCTTAGCTAACCCATTGTACACAGCTGGACTCAGCTAGTAAGAACTCACAGTTCTCCATCTCAGATTGGTAATTGTCACAGAATAAGGTTCAGTTGTCTTGACTACCTCAATACTTATCCAGTAACCAGGAGATTAAGAACTCTCGTTCAAACAAGAGTATTATTCAAAAGCTGATAGCAGCACCTGGGTGTGGTGATACATACCTGTAATCCCAGTTACTCTGGAAGCTAGATAGGAGGATTCAGGTCTGAGGCTAGTCCCAAGAAAAAGAATATGCCTCTATCTGAAAAACAAATTATAAAAGCAAAAATACCTGGGGGCACAGTCCTGGAAGCAGAGTACCTATCTAGCAAGTGTGAGGCCCCTGAGTTCAAACCCCATTGCCCTAGTACTGCCAAAAAAAAAATACCCTTCCACCAACACACACAAAAACACACATACATGTGCTCTAGACTTATACTGCAGTTTAAAAACCAACAGGGAGGGGCTGGGAAGGTGACTCAGTGGTAGAGTACTTGCCTTGCATACATGCGGCCCTGGGTTCGATTCCTCAGCACCACATAAGCAGAAAAAGTGGCACTGTGGATTAAGTGGTAGAGCACTAGCTTTGAGCTGAAGAGCTGAGGGACAGCGCCTAGGCCCAGAGTTCAGACCCCATCACCGACAAAAACAAAAACAAAAAACAAAACAAAACAGGGAAACTGATCACTATTCTTTTCACAATGTGTAAAACACACACTCACACACACACATACACAAACAAGAATCTCCACTTTCCAGAGCAGAAACCCACAGGTTTACATAGGTTACAGTAACAGTCAGTGACCCACAATCAGTGACCCACAGCAACTCTGAAATGTTGATTAGATTATCAGTGGTGACTGAAGTCATCTTTCCAGCCACAAAGTCCCTTTTGCTCTCCCTGCTCTTTTGAACTTTCAAGAAATAATTGGAAAGAGAACTTTTGACAGGTCACAGCAGCAACATGTTTTCAAAACTAATGTGGCAAACACAACATGGTTCATTACAACACCACCAAAGGTATTTGCAAATCACAGTTGAGCATCTGTGTTTTTTAGAGTTGGGTTTGAGTACAGAATCAGTTCTGCATGTGTCCCTGCCTGAGTCTGCATGAGGGGAGCATCTATCATCTCTCCCCTCATCCATTCTTTCCTGACATTGTGTTACTGAGTTGATATTTCAGCTTGGTTCTGTAAGCATCAGTATCACGCCACTTAATGTCAAAGTCCCTAGGAAAATTGCAGGATTTAAATGGAAAGTAGTCTATGCAATTTTAATTCAATGCTCCTGTGTACAAATCAGATTTCTGCAGCAATCCTGCATCTGTCAGAAAGCTGAGAAGGCTTGCAGCCTGCTGAAGAACACATTGAGAACTCCCTCAAGGGCAACTTCTGATGTATTTTACAGACTCTCAGCCTGGTGGGAAGGGGAAGACCACAACAGCCCTGAGCCAGTTAATTACTTTGTGTAGGAATTTGGAATTACTGAATGTAGACTGTTCAGGGAAGTAGAGCAGATGGAAGGACAAAAGCCCACACCTGACCCAAGTTAAACAATTTCAGGGGCTGGGAAGGTGGCTCAGTGGTACAGCGCTTGCCTTGCATGCTCAAGGCCCTGGGTTCGATTCCTCAGCACCATATAAGCAAAAAGAAAAAAGCCGGAAGTGGCGCTGTGGCTCAAGTGGTAGAGCGCTAGCCTTGAGCTGAAGAGCTGAGGGACAGTGCCTAGACCCAGAGTTCAGGCCCCACGACCGGACCCAAAAAACAAATTTCACTGAAGCCATCAAAAAGTTGTTAAAGCCTCAAAAACTTACACTAAAAATGTTCAGCATACTCATTATCTTACTGATGTAACTGTAAACTCTCTGTACAGCATCATTACAAGAAAATAAAATTTTAAAAAATGTTGAGCATTGGCTGGATACCAGTGGCACATAACTAATCAAGAGGTGACATGGATCAAGATGCATTGTATTCATGAGCTGACATGTTATTGAATTGTAAGCTTACTTAAAGATAATAAAATTATAATTTAAAGAAATGAGACCTGAGGATCCCAGTTCAAAAACAGCCTATACAAACATATCCAAGGGACCCTTATCTCCAACTACCCAGAAAAAAAGCCAGAAGGGAGGCACCGCTCAAGTGGTAGAGCACCAGCCTGGAGTGGAAAATAACTAAGCAAGACTTCAAGGCCCTGGGTTCAAGCCCCAGTACTAGCACATACATGTGCGCGCGCACGTGTGCGCGCACACAAACACACACACAGGGGCAGCATTGAAAATAAAATGACAATCATTTATTGGTGCCTTATATTTAAGTGTTGGGGAGAAAGCAAGCCTGTGTAGTTCAGTTAGAGGTTTTCTTCAACCTCTACCTACCTCCTTGCCAAACTAATTCAAAAAACAAGCAAAAAAAAAAAAAACCCAAACCCCACAACCCTGTAACTCATGCAACAGGGAAAGGACAGATCACTGTGATCCTTCCCTGGTCTTTCTGAGAACAGTCTCCAGCTGACTGTTGACAGAAAACAACCACCAGAAATTGTACTGACACATCAAACCATCTCCTTTGGTATGAATACTCGATATCAAGGAGTGTCTATTAACAATAGTATATTCTGCCACTTTGCATGTTAAAATACTCTGTAAAAGATCCATTCACCAACCAGTATCAAAATCATGACAAGTATGTTTGAGTGACAGACTGGCTGTGTAGTGGACTCTGTAGTTCATGGTGATGCTAAGGCCACAGAAACCTCAGCACACAAGTCAGAAGCCACTGAATGGCAGCACTTGAGGAGTCCAGGGAAGGTAATGACTCCAACAATGGCCTCCAGATAGCAGATTGGTGAGGGAAGCTGCAGGAAAACTTCCAAGGAAGGGGCCCCAAGGACTATGAGCCTCGGGGCTTGCCAGCTCCAAACCTCCCTGATTACTTCTGAAGCACACTGAAGCCACGGAGTCAATTCAATGAGAATCCAGGCGCCCCCTCGGAGGCCCGCGCTGAGGTGGATGGGAACGCAGCGTTCACTCACCACCTTAGGGCCAGGCTGCAGTCTGTCTGGCTGATGAGTGATAACACGGGACCATGCAGCGCCCACAGCCCACTCCGCATGCGCATACCTTCCAAGCTGTAGTGAGGCTACCTGACCTTCTGAGAGCTTATCACATTCAAGGACTTCCAGAGACCTAAGGTTGACACTACAACCCCTAGATGAGCCTCCCCCAGCTCTGCTGCCTGGTTTAACCTAACTGCAAACTAATTAAGGCCTCATCCACCATTGAATGCATATCTCAGAGGCCTTTCTCACAGCCTGACACCACCAAAAGTCATATAGGAAAACAAACCTTTGACACTCCACTCCAAGACTGGGGGAAAATGGCAGGGGGTGGGGTGGGGGAACTTTTTTTGAGAATTATGTCCGTGGCCCTACCCACAACCTACAAACACCTACACACAACACACCTTGCTGGCAGGTACCACCCCCCAACCTTAATCTAAATCTGGTACCTTTGCCACCAAGGCCAATTCAAGCAAAACATTAACCTATGGCCATGGGTTCACTAACGGGGCCAGCCCTGGAGAAAGACAGCCAACTTTCTGTTTGTTTTAAAGGAAATACTTCCTGGCACATGTTTAGGACTCTGAACTCTGCACACGAAGCCACGTGGTTGGTGCTAATCTGGCTCCATCCACTCAAGATCGCCCAAGGCCACCTCTTTCTGAGGGCTGCCCATGGCGGGGTAATCGGGTTCCCAGTTCCGCAGCAATCCCCAGGCGCACACTGGATGGGGGGGGGGGGCTGCGGGAGGGTGCAGGAGGGCTGGTGCGAAATGTCTCTTGGGGATTTGGCAAGAAAGGATTCACATCCGTGCGACAAGAACTGGCTCCAGAGGCTCAGGTGAGCCCGAATAGAAGGAGCGGGATAGGAAGAGTCGCCTCCTTTCCAGGAAAGCCGCCGCCGCCACGAGCAGAGCGCGCGGGCACACTACTTGGGGTGCCCACCTGTAGCCACGGCAAACAAACTTCCAGCCCCTTCTGGCTTCAGAAGAAATCAAGTCCCTTACGCCACCACCTGGCCCCAGCTGGCAGCGGCCCGGAGCTCTCGGGGCGCCTCACCTGATACCCCTAAAACCCCCACCTGGCCGGGCCCAGAGCCCAGCCCCGGCGCCCGTGGAGGTTTGCGGAGTGGGGGGGGGTGGGGGGTCAGGGCTTGCAGCGGGAGATTCGGAATTTGGAGGGAAACGCGGGAAGACGCTCCTCGCTGCTCTTTGCAACTCCAGCTCCCAACTTTGCCAGCCTCTACCCTCCGGTTCCCCCTCGAGGCGCACGGCCGGCTTCTCCTCTCCCCCAGCCCCCCGCCCTGCCCCACACACCCGGACGATCTCTCCCAGGCGGTCCTCGGTGGGGAGGGCTCCCCAAGCTTGGCGGGAACCCCGCGCGCTCGGCGTACTTACAGCCATAGCGAGGTCTCTGCAGCGACGGCAGCTCTTCGTGGGGCATCCTGCGCGGTTCCGAAGCCCCTCCTGGGGCGCGCGCCCCGCGGCTCCCTTCGCTGGCCAGGCTCGCGGGCCC